CCCCAAAACCCCAAAACCCCAAAACCCCTAACGGTTAAATAGACTAGTTATTAGAGAAAATGAGTATAATAATAATCAAAGATAGATTAAATTATTATAAATTAGTCAAACTTCTTTCTTGTTCTCTAAGTTTTGGAAATATATTTAGAAATAGGGAAAAGAATCTGCAGTTTATATTTAAAAATAATTAAATAAACAGAGCTCTCAAAAAAGACATAAATGAACAATTTAGATTAAAACACCTTAACAATATTGAAACACAATTCTGTGCCACTTACTTCTCAAGCTAAATCAAGATTACTCAATAGTCCAAATAAGATAGTCAATGATAATGTATTTATCTAATTTCTTAACCAAAACTCATATTAGGAAATGTATCAAATTAATGCAGAAAATTCTGGATATTTTCACCAAAGGGATCATGTACGACTGTCAATCGAAACAAATATATTAAATGCACATTAGAATCATAGAGATAAGAGATAAGTTTAACCTCATATGCCAGATAATAAAGAAAGCAATAATATTTCTTAAGTAAGCGGACTTAACATTGAAGATTTTTTCTATAATAACCCATCCTCATAATCTAAAGCAGGATATGAACAATATAGTATGTTAAAAGTTAACTAAAGGTTAACATCAAACATGCTTGAAACATTCAGGCAAAAAACCTAAGAATCTTAGCACATGTTGTCAAGAAATTAATTTAAATATCAATCTAAAACTATCGAATTCAAGGTAGAGCCAGAGTACCTAATGAATAATTTTCGTACTCATTGTGATGAATCTGGGATGATTAGACAATAATTAAAAAGAATTAACACTGGAAGATGGACCAAGTAAGAGCATGAACAATTTCTGGATGCTTTGCGTAAATATGGCAAGAATTGGAATAAAATATTCGACAGTTTGGAAACTCGATCTGAGTAGCAAGTTAGGTCTCATGCCTAGAAATTTTTTATTAAGATGAAATCCAAAAAGAACATAAAGCATCTAGATATTTATGAAGCTTTAGTGTCATATAATAGTAGGCAAATCATCTAATAATAGAAAAGTAGGAATGTAGAAAAAATTCAGGCAAAGACTTGCCAAAATTCGAATAGCAAGCACTTTGATTTTAATTTAGGAAAAGTAATTCACTTATTATTGATAATTGAATATTTATAGAAGGATTAGCAGGAAATTTTCTTAGTAGTTCGGGATTTAAGTTGCAAAAAAGAGCCAAAAATGCCATAAAATGATTAGTCAACTACTATTTAAGCAGTACCAAATCATGAGTGCTTGAAAAGCTCCCAGAGTTTAAGTAACATCAATCTGAATAAAACTCGAAACAGAAAGATAAGTGAAAGTACCAACAATTCTACATAAAATATTAATAAGAGATTATTTCAAGTAGTTAGATAAGAGTAAAAAGTAGTAAATGCTAACACCCCAAAGAATGACATAGGCCAAAAACTTTTAATTGATTAAAATTCCAGCTAAAAAAAGCTTTAACTAGCAGAAGATGAGTTCAAAGAGTTTCTTGAATGGAGAAGAATGAAGTCTCATTAATATGATGATGAAGAGTTAGTTCAAGATAATGATTCTCGAATTGAATACAATATTTAAAAGTACTTAAGAACAGAAAATTAAAAAGTCAATAAGAGGAAGGATATATCTCCATCTTAGTTGCTTATTGAAATTGATGAGTAAAGTCTCTATGACGAAATGGAAAGCAATTCAAAAAATTAATCTGAAAATCAATTTTATCATAAAAACCTTAAGAGAGTATTAACCTTTGAGTCAAGTGGCCATAGTCCAGATGTGATATCATTGAAGAGTGAATCAGCTTTTTAAGAGGATAATTATGAGTTGAGTTAATATATCAATTACGGTTAAATGAATGATTATGACTTCAATGAAAATAGCAAGAAATATAACGAAAATCAATCTACTATGATACTTAAAAATGGATTTAACAACAGAACTCAGTTTTAATACACTTAATAGCACTAGTAGCAAGATCATGAGATTTTATGGTAAAATATTGATGAAATCCAAATTATTTGAGCATAAGGTTTCAAAACTTGATTAATTGCACAAATTTCTCACTATAAACTAACTATCATCATGTAAATTAGAAAAAAAATCAGAAGCAATGCAAATTAAGTTGAATTAGTGAGACTCTAATACTTTTATTGACATTTTTTATTCTATGAAATTACTTTAATTTCATTCTATTATTATCACTTCAATATTTATCACTCAATTCTATACTTTATTTACACTTCACGGGGTTTTGGGGTTTTGGGGTTTTGGGG